ACCAGACGATCAGGCAGCCCGTGACCTTAGGGTCAAGAGTACCACTGTGACCAGTCTTCTCGACGCTGTGAACTGTTAGCTCCAATCCAACGACAACGGGAATGCGCTAGCAAAATCGCAGGTTCCTCCGTGGCCGCTGCTGGTAAAGGTGGCGTTGTCGCAAGCAAGGCCATGGACACGCGGAGCATCATTCGGACAGGCATAGGCATGTGCTTTCAGGCGTGTCGTGATATCGCTTTTGCACTTTCAAGCCACAAGTATGCTGCCGCAACGATTGCCTCCACGTCTCCGAGCAGCGGGAACCAGATTGGAACCCTCGAATGTATTGCCGTTTCGCGTCGTCAGGGAGAGAAGGCGTACCGGAGCATGCGCTTGAGCCAAGCGACGACCTCGTGGGAACTGGGCTGTAGAGCTGTCAGACCAATTGTCCCCCTAACACATAACAATCTACTCTGGGAAAGGGCGAACGCACGTTGGAGGGCTTGTCGAGGTTGATGACACCGCTGGAGATGTACGACTTGATGTCACGCTTCAGCGGGCTGCATCCGGCGGGGATGGGCGTGAAGTGACCGGTGCGAACGAGGACTGCAGGCTACTCGTCAGCAAACGATGCAACTCGATCGTGTCTCTCGAGGGAGAAAACTTGCGCTTGTCATAGTTCTTGAGCAGCAGAGGCCAGCTGCTGGTGTCGAGCTGAGGAGTGGCGGCCTGGGGCTTAATGGAGTACTCCTCCTCCTCGCCGTGCTTCACGATCTCCATGGTCATGTTTCGGGCCTCGATCGTGCCTTCTTTCTTCGCGACTTCCTATCTGCAACGGGCAATTGACCTCGTGGGGGCGAGTGTCTGGTCGAGCAGTGGGTGGTCGGGCGTCGCGACTGGTTCTTGCTGGTCGAGCTTTGTTGGCAGTTCCTCTGGGCTGGCGGGTCGAAGCTTCCAATTTTTTTTCTTCGACTTTGCTGTGGGGGGAGCTGCGACCAGCAAAGGCGTCTCTGATTGGATGGCGGGTTGCAACAGCCACAGCAATGGCGTGGTCAGCCACATTTACGCTTCGGTCGCCTTATCAGGGATCCTTATCAGTTAGTCGTTTGCTCTGTTCCAGCATCTGGTCCTGGTCCGAGGAAAGATCGTGGGCTTGGCGATGCCAGAAGGCCTACATACTTAGTACTCTACCCTATCACTTTTCACAAATGCGTGTTTGATCAACTTCTTCGCTTGGAATATAAATCTCTTCCATCTAAACTTCTCTCTCTTCAACGTATGTTGAATTAGCAGAGAGAGCCCATGGCAGCGACAATATGAGATCAAGAACCTAGTTGACTCTGATGCCGCTGACCGAATTGGTCTTTTTGGATGTCTATCCGCTTCACGTTGCGAGATTATAGGGGCGCTATCATCATGTTGGCGCTTCCTGCATTCTAGCTTCGTGGATAGGTATGCAAAACGTGCAGGCATCTAACATCAATCTGGTGGCCAAAGAGTAGCCCGTTTAATGGGTCCTGGACAAGGCAAGATGTTCAACAATACCGCAAAGTCACGCACACCGAAAACAAATATTTTGGAAATGCCCTCTATCCTCATATTATCCGTTAGGCACGTTTAGCACTATACAAACACCTTACGGCGCGTGCCACGCTAGGTCGGCCTGGGAGACTAACCCTCTACTGCGAAAAGGGGCCTCAATATGCTACCTAGTTGAGCACACCAAGAGCCTAACTGGAGAGCTCAATAAGGTGGTCAGACACCAAGTCACCGTTTACGCGCCGACGACATGCATGTGTTCATTTCCACCCGAGGCGGCAGTCTCCGACAAACTGTAAATGTGATGGTTCATCGCCTGAGAATCTATCAGGCGCATCGTCGCTGGCGGCGAATTCAAGGGTTCTTTTCCATGGCCCAGCAAGCGTACCTTTGACTCTTCACGTCACTATCACATACACCGAACCGCCAGTCAAATTGTCGGCACTTGTTGCCGCCCTTTCGATGATAGCTCTCCGGGCTGGGATGTCACTCACAACTTGATTAATCGACCGGCTATGTCGACCTCACTTGCCTCACTCGCGGGCTTGCAGACTGTATAACGATTTCAAATCGACAATAATAAAATTCACAGTCTACAAACCGAGGTTTCCTGTGTTTGACCGTTTGATGAGCAAGTGGTATAAGACTCCAAACTCCCCCGACCCCGACCCCACCATTAAAGTTGTACACGACCGGCGCTACCACACATAAGCTTTCCTCGGGTCGTCCTGCGGGGAGTCGTGGTAATCAGCCGGGTTGTACTGAGCATAGACCGGCCTCTCCGGCTGGTGGATCGGCTGTACGTCCAGCGCGAGTGCCAGATGCTGCCCGTAGTTTCCATCAACCTCTCGTAGCTCATATGATTCCTCCCCCACAGCCTTGCCCTTCGTATCCTGCTGCCACACGGGCGAAGGCTCAGGCCCGCCTAGAGCAATCCCGACCTCCTGCGGCGCTGTCCTCATCTGAGGTTTGTCGGCGGGCCACGGCATGTTGCGCCCGTCTACTGCCGTGTCTGGACTGTTGTACTGTGACGAGTACGGCGAGAAGTATCTCGTCTGAAACTTCTCGGTGCTCACGCTCTGAGGCGAGTTGTCCCAGTCCCGGAGCGGCTTCTGGCTTTGTGGTGTGTCGTCCCAGCCTCGAAAGGGGTGCTGGCTCGACGGGCTTTCAAAGTATTCGCCCCGGGTGGTGTTGATGGGTGTAGGCCACGCCGCCATGGCTTTCTTGACCTTCTCATCGTAAGACTTGAGGAACGTCCGGCGTTTCCTGCGGCCGTTGCAGATGATGCAGAATCCGACGGCGACCAGGATCAGGAGCAGCGCTCCAAACGCAATGCCTACTCGGGCATCGAGGCTCAGAGGGCCCGGGTAGTAATTGGGAATGTTGGTGGCGATCGGTGTCGGGTCGGTAATATTGACAACAGACGTTATGAATGGTGGGCTGTCAATCGAGACACGCGTTCCATTGATGGGCATCTGCTCGCATCCGGCCTGCAATACTGTCATGACTGGGGCATATTAGCTTTGTCCCTTCCCGAGACCTTTTCCAAGACTTACAATTGGCGAGGAAGTGGTTGCTACCAGCACGGAGACATGAAGCGCATCGAGGCAGCTGATCGTGAATCCAGGTAGAGCAGTACCCGTACGCCGTGCCGTTAGGCTCAAGCTCGTTGTACGTAACTGCACGTTGCAATGGCTCGCAGGCAGTGCTAGTCTTGGGTCAGCATTGGCAGAGGCTGAGAGCACGAACGCGAAAGGACATACCTGGTCAAGCAGGGGCTTGATCCGACATCCTCGTTTTCTGGGTAGCCGAAAAGGCAGTATGACACGGCATACCGAAGGTTGTCTAGGAGCGACGGTCAGATTGGGGATCCCAAGCTTCCTCAAATCCAGTCGTAAACTCACAAAGAGCCCATTGCGTATCGGTCTCGTCCCCGTCAATATAGCCACTGGCGAGCTGACAGGTTGTACACCGTTCAAAGACACCGCCTTCGGCACTTGTGTCGTAGTCCTCCTCCTTGCACACCAGCTCATCTGAGCTGGTAGAGCCGAGAACATTGCCACAGAGAGTCTGGCAAGGTGACCCGGCCACGGCCTTGAGAGCAGACGCACGGCTAAGCCATAGCCCAAGCCAAAAGGCGCTGACAGCAAAGCGCATGTTGGAGGTTTTGCGTCAGCCGACTACTGGATAAGAGATCCGGTCAGTGGTTCAAAGTGAGGAAATATTCCAGTCGAAGTGCCAGGCGCTCGTCTTCGTCTCACATGCCGACGGGGAGCGCGATGGTATGTCCTCGAGCGGAACTTTCTGGTGAGTGTGCGAAGCGAAGCAATGGGACGGACGATAAAGCTGGCGAGGAACGTTCACGATCTTGAGCTGGAACTTGCGGAAGCACGAGTGGCAGTTCTCATATGTGCGACATGAAGTGAGAAGCGGGGATCGCTGCGATCACGCCGTGGAGGTGTGACAGGGTGACGAGAAGCGCTGTGATCGCTGCAGGTTGGAAGGAAAGCCGCATGGCGTTGCAGCGTGTTGGCGCACAGGGTGGGCAGCTCATCACACGGTCCTGGTTGCCTCTTGGTACCGTAGCCCGCCAGCCGCCCGTTCGGCGAGTGAAGCCCTGCCCAGCCAGAGCCTGTCTGCCCGTCCATCAGCGGCCCGCTAGCCCTCAGCTGTGCTCTGTGCTTTCGCCTGCCCTTGCCGGTTGTGTACTCAACCAAAGATGACAGAGAGGTGAAGAGGAGGAGGTGAGGGGGTTGGGGGTGATTGGGCGATGGGTATCTTCGATGGCCCCGAGCTCTGATCCTTGACTCGGGGGCCATGTTGCCGCCGTGCTGTATCCACACGAGCAAACAAGCCGCCAATGATAACAAGAAACCCGTTCACCTGCGCGTGCTACATGCAAGGGCTCTGCTCCAGTTCACACACGACTGGCAAATAGGATCGCGAGAAACGTCCCCGACTTCATGATTCGCTTGTCGACTGCCTGGCACTTGAACAAGTGGCGGGCAATATGAACATGATGATTACAAGGAATGTGACTTTGGCCGGTTGTCCAGGCCGCACATCACACACACCGTCCACTAGCATTGCTCTTCACCCCATCTTCAATTCCCCTTCGCTGTCCGAATCGGGTGGTGACCCCTACCAGTTACTTGCCCCCTTCACGGAACTTGCCTGAAGTGTGGAAAACGTGTTGGTCCATCGACTCTTGACGATTCAATCGCGTAGCCTGCCCTGACTACCGCTGAGGTGCCGCTTCACTTTTCACCGGAACAATGCAGCCTGCCACACCTCTCATCCCGAACTTGGGGGCGGGCGGTGCGCCTCGGTATGATGAGTGTTGGCCAATTTCGTGATCACCTTGAACTTGCCAGTGTTTCACGGTTTAGGTATCTTGGCAAGGGCAAGGGGGTGGGAGCACGAGACTAGCATAGCGATTTGCCAGCTTTGGACAGGTCTCTTTGAAGATCTCGACGCCACTTCTGTATCGTTGTTGGATTATTCACTAGCCTAGTACATACATGTCCTCGTGAGCGAACAACTGCCATGCTGGCCAAGACCTCTAACTCCGCTATGCTGAACAGGGATGAGGAACGGATATCAATCGTTGGGGTGATCAGGTCATAAGTGAACGGGAAAACAAAACCAAAATGGACATGTCATAACGCAAGTCAACAAGCCCGCTGCTCCTCCCGAGCAGCAATCCGTCAAACACCGAGTTCGCCCTGTCTTTTGGCTACCTTTGCCTACCGTAAACTCCTTGTATGTGTGCCATGTCTTCTTCCGTGTTCTAGACGGCCACGCCGCTGGGGGCTGTGGCCATTCTCAAAATATCCCCTTCTACAGCATCAGGGGAAACCCCCTTGGATTCTGGACTTGGATGTCGTATGGCTTCGTCCTCGAATAACGCTTCTGTGTCGTTGACGAACACTTCTGCTTTCGGTGTTCGAGTCTCAAAAGATGGAGTCGACGGCGAGCGGCCAGGAGTTGAAACTGTGTCAACAGTCTCGGCTAGTGAACCAGAGTCACTACAGGCAACACCGTCCGGCGTGGTTTGAGAACCCTGACTCGCGGTGCGCTCAATATCATTTGTAAGAGGCAGAGGCGAATTCCCTGCGATAGTGGCTTCGGAACCGGGGGACGAGTCCTGTCCAGCGGCAGCATCTGTGGCAGAGCCAGGGCTGCTTGACACTTGTGCACCGTGGACAGGGCAGTTGGGGCAAACAACAGATTCGACAGCTTCAAAGTCTTGTATGGCGGCGGCAGGAGGGCTACCGGATCCGCTCGACGACCCAGACGCCCGCCGCTCGTATTCTTGTTGCAGCTCTGAGCGCGCTCGATCGAGGGAGAAAGCTTGGTCGTCAGAAGATGAGGCAACGGGGGAAAACGCAACACCTCTGGATGTAGACCGAGGCTGGGGGCGCATCTTTGTCCTGTCCATGGCAGTCGGCGTCCTGGATCGTTCACGCACCCTCGAGAAATGTGGTTCCCTTTCCTCGGATGTCGATGCAGATCTGGAACGATGGCCCATGCGGGACATCGGCCTCGGTGAGTTTTGCACTCCTGGGCGCGCAAGACTGGACTGAGGACGTGCCATCTCAGTGCCAAAAATGCTGGGGTTTGCCCCAATCAAGATGGATGCAGCGGCTTCGGTGGGACGGCTTCGGCTACAGTTGCGTGACTTGGGCGAGCTGGGCCTGTCGGGAATGGGAGACTGTGTCTCTTCATTACGGAACCGATTGGCCGATTCTGCTCGCTGCGATATGCCATCCAAATGCTGCGATACCGCCGCTGCCATATCGCGGTGAGCCAGGCTTGAATCCGAACGTTCATGATTTCTGTTGCGGCTGGCATTTCGTGACTTTGGGGATGAAGGACGCGAAGGATGGTTGTCTTGTCCGCTGTGGTCATCCGTTGCAGTTGTAGGACCCTGGCTCATCGGGGGAGATCTGCTAGAGCTCCTTTCTCGTGATTTAAGCTTATTCGAGTAGCGCTCATCTTTCCTAGATGTGCGCGTAGTACTGCTCGATCGCATCGTGTTCGAGCTATGCGTCCGCTTCACCGGTTCAGGTTGCGGTGTTGGAGCATTAAAGGCTTTGGGGGTCCTCCTTCCCACGGGGGACGGCGCAAACGGTGGCCAATCGTTAGGATCAACCGGAGTATGTAATGCAGCGTCGATAGGGGTTCGAATCGAAGAGGACGAGGGCCGCCAGAGATAGCGACTGGCTATCGGCGACATGTCGTCAAAGGGAGTGATGGGACTGAACGAGTCCTCTGTGTGGGTAATTGTGACCTCGCCCCCGTAAACATGCATGTCCGGGATTGGTCTGGGGTATCCGCTTAGGGGCAGACCACTGTCGGGATAGGGAGTGCTTTCTGCTGGGGGCCTCTCATTCGACCTGATTGATTGGTTTGAGCGAATAGACTGGACCGACTGGACCGACCGAACTGAATGTGTGGACTGCGTACTCATAGGTTGCGGGCTATTGGCTTCCGCCCAACTGCCAAATGGCGGCGACTGCGGAATGATTAATTTAGGCCGGACAGCCTGTGGAGTGGGACTCGGTGCAGTTGGTGTTGGTATATCATGAGAACCAGTGGATTTGGCTGATGTTGCTGATGTGGCCGAAACTGGCTCTCGGCGTTGGGGGTGCTGAGGGATTTGAATCTGCGGGCTCGGTCTCGTGCGTTTCGAAGATGTCGCCGTCGTGTTATTCATGGCATTGCCGATGGCGGCTTGTGAAGTGGGGGGTTTGGTTGACGATAATGGCTCCTTCGAATGCTCGCCCTTTGGCGAAGATTGCGTCTCTTGAGAGTTTGATGGCGGCTTTTGTCCCGGCGCTGGCGATTGTGACATCTTCTGTAGTTCGCCTTGTGCCGGTTCTGAACTGTCGGCATCCGGGCGGTACAGGAGCTTGGCGTACGGAGGATTGTCCGTGTCGACAACGAGAAGCTCCTTTTCTCCTCGACCAAGCAGGCCATAGACCTTGACCTCGCCATCATGAATCCCAACAACTGCACTCGTCCCGGCGTAGACAGCTTCGTCTTCAGTGCCTGTACGGTTGCAGAACACAACAATGATCTCCTCATCATTCTCAGCCCTGATGAGGGGCTCCAAGCGGGTGACCCAGTAGGTCAAGGTCTCCATGTCAGGCTCGTTAGGCATACGACTGAACATCCTGCTATCCTCGCGTGTCATCCAGGCCATGGAGACAATGACGAAGTTGGAGGAGTACTCGAGAACGTGAAAGGCAAACTCAAAGGCGTGCCAAGGTGCTTGAAACTTATGGGGGCTAAAGGGGGTTAATTCAGGACAGAGATGGCGGGGAGAAAGAAGAAAACTCACTTCAGGTCCATACCTGCAAACAAGGAGTGTTAGTCGACTGTCTTCGCCAGGAGATGTCCACGCAAGAGATACTCACAGATGCCCATCGACGTGTGGCCAAGGCCCGGGATGTATCCTTCGAAAAACCCAGTATCACCTTCCAGCGCCCATGTCTCATCGGTGTAATACAAGAAACTTTTCCGATAATTTGCAACCGTCTCGCCGTCTCTATTAACAATGATTGCCGAGTTGTAATACTCAGGGCCGGTTGGCCACTTGGGTGAAGGGTCGACTTTCTCCGGGTATCCAGCAGCGACGATACAGTTGTACTTCAGCGCGGTGGTGCGAGCCCATAATGCCGTGATTCCAGAGCCGGATGGTTCGAGATATGGTGCGATGTGTTCTAAGGACTTGAAGTTGTAGCCTGTAGGGAATTGTCAGTCACGTCCCTACGCACATGTGCTGCTCGCGCGACCACGGTCCAAGTCGCCTTGTTGGGCTCTAGTGCTCCATGTTGCTGCCGGGCGCATTGGAGGTCTCTTCCTCCCAAACCAGCACACGTACCTGAAAAGGCCATTTCAGGCAGGACCAGAAGATCGAGTTCCTCGGGGTTCGCTCTGCTCAGGACAGCATCGGCGCGGTTGAGGTTATTGTCGACATCGCCGACCTGCGGCGCGAACTGAACACAACCGATCCTCATCGTGAAACTCGACCAAACTCAAGGACTGACTGACACAAGATGCTGCGACACGAGTCTCTCTGTAAGGACATGACGAAAGACAGGGGACGGTCGCGCGCAACAGTCTTGGTGCGAGAAAAGATGAACCACAACAACAAACGTCAGCACAAGATCACCATACTATTTCAAGGTGTGTTCAAGATTGGGCAAGAGGCGATATATGGGGGTAGGGTCAGAGAGAGAAGGGGAGTAGACCAAAATGGCACATTGGGGGGGGGGGGGCGGGGAACTGGCAAGCAACGGGTGTGGGCGGAAGTCCATGAGGCTGAGGGGCCGTGGTCGCGGCCAACGAGAAGTCGACACTAACCGCCCATCTCACCTATCTGGCCCCGGACCACATCCCACCATCAGCCTGTCCATGCCCCCCGGTCAAGTGTGACGCCTGACGCGAGGCAGGGCCACTCACGAGCTGCTTGTTATGCGGGATGGCGCGAACAACTAGAGACGACGTGCGGGCATTTGACTGAGGGTGCAGCTCCCTGAAGCCAATACAGCACTTGCCAAGTAAGGGAGATGCCTACCACTCGTCTAGCGCTTCGCGTCACTGCCGGCCGCCAATGTCGTCGCTAACACTCGGACGCAGACCGCTTCGCCGTGCTGTGATATTCGTCGCACAGCGCAACGGGCGTTGGAGGTACTGTGAGCCCCTTTCCGTACCTACCTTAGGTACCTACCTACCTGGTACCCAACAGATGCAGCCAGCTCGAGTGGCCTTACTTTCAGGAGCAGAAGTTACCAGCCAACACCAAACATGTCGTCAAGCTGAGAAAAAGCACCAACGATTCGCTCACTGGTAGCTGCTGCTAGATGGTACTTTCGTGAATTGTCACATCGGAGAGCTGGCGGCGTTGTTGGAGGGATAGTGCCTAGGTAGGTAGGTGCCATGTAGTAGTCTTGGTAGGTACCTAGGTAGCAGCGAGAGGGGGACAGAGCAGTTGACCTGGGAAGCCCTAGCCGTCTCATTTGAAGCCCTGATTTCCTCCTGTCTCCAGCGCAATTCCCAAGCCTTCGGGTGAAAGTGGATCCACGCTGAAGGAGCGCAGGTTCCAGCGTATTCATTGGCTGATCCCTTACTGGCCTGTGAGCTGATTGGTCTCTATCCCGCGTGATGGCAAGGGCCTCTCTCTCATCCAATTGCTGACATGCGCCCACCTAGGTACCTTAGGCGCCCTTTATTAACGTGCTGCACGTTGTTGGCTTCCAACAGGGAGTCCTCCAGGCACCAATGAGTAAGACTCGAGTCCATGTGGGTAGGCAGTACATGGTACTTGTTTCCCATTGCTGTGCGGGGAGTCGGATATGATGCTTGAGCTGCTATGCCGCCCAGTTGCCAGTGTCTCGAACACCCACCCGCATGGTGAGTGAGCTCCCATGGCGAGATGTCCAGCACACCTCGACATGTCCTGAGCCCTGCCACTCCACCCACCAGCGTGAAGCGGCAACCGGAATAAGCGCCTCAGCACGTGCTCCGTCCTGTCTGTCTGATCAGCGATGTCACCAGATGTCCTGCACACTGGTTGGTGCCTCAAACAACTTCTTCCACTCTGAAAAAGTCGGTGAACTAGGAAGGGACAAGCAGTGCTGTATTAAGGAAGCGAAGTTTCATGTGCCAGGCACTTCTCAGATACTTTATTCACCCTCGCCGAGGAACACCCAGCCAGTATTGGGGCCTTAGACATGCCCCTGGGATCAGTACTTCTCTGTCTTCTCCGGCCCCCTGTCTCCAAGCCTGGTATTGTCATTGATGTACCGGAACCCGAAGAAGGCGCGCCTATCCCGTTTCTCACTGCATCAACGTCAGTCATGTGACGACTCACGAGCATCGTCTGAGCCCTGGTTACTCACTTGGTCAAGGTCATGGTAGCCACATCCTCCTCCGCCTCAGCATTGTAGCCCCACGAGACGCCCCAATTGCTCCCCTCGCACGGCTTGTCGAAAAAGCTCATCTTGCCCGGGTCCTGCCCCTTCTTGCCGCTATGTGACACGACACACAAGACAGAGTCAAAGTCGGGATGCTCAATGGTGAAGATGAGGGCCATGCCCGGCTTTTCCTCAGACTGCATGACATCTGCGTCGTGTGAGTGGCTGCGCCTGCGTTCTCGGTGGTTGTTCTTTGCTTTTCACATACAGCGATACACATCCCCGAGCGACCATTCGGACGCGTACTCCAAGCTATCCTCGTTGCTGCGAGGCACAGAACGCACCAGCTCAGGTGGGCTCTGGAAGATTTGTTCGCTGTCGTCGCTGCCCAGCGCGGATGCCGGCATAAACCTGGTGATGTTCAGCCACGTGGTGCCGTCCTCGGCCAGGGCGCGCCACGACAGTTTGCCATTGGCATCCCAGGCGATGATCGTTTTGATAGCGTCTTGGTCGCCCCAGAGGCGAACAATCTCTGAATTGTCCGCCTCGTGACATGGCGTCGTCGGAACATCAACCTCGGCGCCCTTTGTGTTCTCGATTGCCTGTCTCTCCGGTCCTTCGGTGTTGAATTCGCAGAACAACGGACTAGTGCCATCCGTGGAGGTCATGAGTTGCTCCCAGTTACAGCGGTCCTCTGTTGCGGAGCACACTCGGCGGCTCAGGAGAATGATACTGAGCCCGGGCTTTGCTTGTGTCTGGTAGCCAGGTGGCAGTATTTGGGCGAGGCCAAGACAGACGAAGCAGAACAGGCACCAAACGGTAGCGAGCATCGTGGTTCTCGATACACAAGCAAGAGAGCATGGGCGAGGAAGTGATGGGCAGGTGTCAGAACGATGACCGTATACAGAGGTCTAATCACTGTCTATATGCTCACGGAGGATATTCAAATCGCAACGCTGACTCCTGGAGCGAGAGGCAAGCGGTGTTACGCAAGCATAGATGCTTCCCACCGGGCTAGCAAGATGAATGTAATCTTCCACGACGCCGTCGTCAGCAACGGGAAGCTTCTGTCCGACAAGAGACAGGCCACAATTCACATGCTTACACGACGGCAACATGGCTCGTTTGCATAATATGTTTCGGCCGCAATAGTGTCCTCACGTGTCATACCATGGGTAGCGCACGGGTCATCTAACCATTTAACGAGTGCTCTTCTCAAGGAGACTGCCGGGACGAAGCTGCCTTCTCGCTTCATGTTACGAAGTCTGCATCCAAGAACAGGACAAGACAGGTCTCTGTCTGGATGGACAGGTCACGAGATTCATGCATATCAGGGGAAGTCACTCACTGAATCTTGGAGGGGCTTAGCAAGGAGACGAGAACTGGCACGACCCCTTCCCCAAAGGAGCCATGCCATGTTTGCTCGTAGTATTGTGCGCTTGCATCCCCCGTTGCGGGGACACGGGTATCACGCAGCAGTGAACAAGTGCCGAGTAGAGTGATACGACATGACCGAAAGGGCTGGAAGTAGTCCACAAGGTCAACTATTCGACCATGTTTGGATCCAGGCCGTAGGATACGCGAGGCTGGCGATGCTGATGTTGATCGATGACTAGATTGGACCGAGACAGAATCTCAGAAGACGACTTCCGGAGTGGAGATCGTTTGGTCGACGGGGTCGCACAGGCCCAAATTGACATGTTGCCATCCGAATCATGTCGCACGGTTGTTTGACTTTGTGACAAGGTGATGCTGAGGCCCGAAGGATATGATCATGGTGGCCATGTGGTATTGCAAAGTGGTGAAGAACATGGTCATCGATCGTGAGTCTGTTGGGAACGAAAAGGCAGAGTGGTGCTGGGTGGTATGGGCATGTCAAAGTCAGAGAAAGTCAAGTCAAGGAATCGCGGATAGATATATCCTGAGAGATACCCATCCAGGAGCTGTAACCTAAAAATATACCTCGAGTCAAAAGCAACTACCGAAAGGCATGTTGCCAAAAACAAACATGACGGTGCAGTGGTTCTGGGGACCATAGCTGGAGCGCGCGGCAGGGTGGCCTGATTTTGCAACAGCAGATGACGAACGGCGGGTCCATATCAGGATCTGTGAGTCGTTTTCCGACGTCAATTCAACATCTGTATTCGTAGAGAGAAGCGGAGCGGGTGACTCGCAGTGGGCACTTGCGAGAGTGGGTTGGATGGTGAGGTGGAGGGAGAGAAAGATGGCAAATAGATTAAAGTGGAATGGGGAAGAGGAGAGGAGATAGCGGGAAATGCAGCCACTGTCACACTCGCTACTATTTGTGGCTGTCCTTGCCGCGCTGTCGGCTCCAGGCTCGCCGTCAGTGGAGAGACAACCGCCAGCGCGGTAACGAGACCCCCAAGCTTCTAATGTGGAGCTGCCAGATCGTTCGAGGTGGAACCCCACGAGGGTCCAACGGTCGACCAGCAGGCCTCGCTGGCACCGGGAGGCCCCAACCGGCGGCCTGCCAGTGTTTTCGAGGTCAGCCAACAGTTGAAGGCACTGACCGACTGGCTAACTACACGTCGTCCTCTACTCATGTTAAGCACCCTCATTGGATCAGGATAGGGTCATTTGGAAGAGTCTGTTGAATGCATCTATGATGGAATGAATGGAGCAAGGTGTGAGGACAACTTTTGGACACGTGCGAAGCTGGTTGTGGCGACAAGACATCGTCAGGAGGGAAAGGAAGGGGGGAGGCTAGGAACAGAATGGCCTGATTTCCCCGCTCACGTCTTTTCAAAGACTGGGCAGACTGGCGTATGCAGTCAGTCAGATTACAGACCGAAAGAGGCCAGCGGGACGGAAAGGTCAGGCCGGATAATGCCAGCCACCAAGTAGGCCAAAAACCCCCCTCCATTCGAACGACGTCTTGGCGCGCAAAAAGGCGTAGAGGGTGGAGGGGGTGGCCGCGCCGAGCGGCCAGCGCCTGCAAGAACCATTCATCCTGTGCAGTTGCGTTTCAACCTCCCCGCCCTTTCTCACCGTCTCTGCCCAATGGCAACAGTTCGTTTCCCCTCATCCTTGTCGATCTCGTTGACTTTGGCGCCCGGAATCCCGCCAACGGCCCCTCATTGGTTTGACCCGATCGCGTCGAGAAGGAAGTAAGGGCACACAGAGCCATCATTGGCCAGCTACCATGCCACTCATCTTGGGCGTTCGGTCGAACCTGGCGATTCTATTCTCAGCAACACATGTGCTTTCCCTACTCGTCTCTCGCTAGATTCTCGATGTTTTTGGGTCGGCTGCACTTTGGCCATCCGGCTGGCCAGGCGGGTTGGCAGCCTGCCAAGCTCCACAAACCACCCCAAATTTACACGCCCACCTCTGCTTGCAGCACACTTGCAGTAACCATCCTTGCAATCTGAATGTTCGCTCCGGAAGTCTGCAGCTCGTCCACGTTCTGGCATATATCTCCATCTCCTCCCACAAGCGACCATGGGTCCGCTCGAGATGAAGCCTCTTCCACCTGGTCAGCCTCGTGGTCATATACCTCTTGCGGACAGACCTTCTCACCTCGCTCCACGCCGATGAAGCCCTCTCGTGCCGGCTTGGTAATGATCTCCAGACCTTGACATCAACCGCCCCGACCCTTCGCCTCCCTTCCGGCTCCGCACCATCTCCCGCCGCTCTCGCTCTCCCTCCTCTCCTACGGTTCGTCATGGCTCCTCGACGCGCTGCACGGGCTCTGGGCCTGTTGTCGCTCGCCGCGAGTGTCCTATCATTATACGTCACACCCGAATCCGACTGTGCCGCGTTATGTCTGGGAAGCGCAAATGAGACGATAAGCTCGACGGAAGCCTCCATCTCCACATCCGACATTGCTTGCAGGGATGCCGAGTACAGTTCCTCCTCATCAGGAATCAGGTATCGCAACTGCATTGACTGCCTGAGCAAGAGTCAAGAAACGGATGGCGAAGAGAGTGACCTGCAATGGATGCTGTGTAGGTGTAAAGCCTAGTGCTCCTACACCTAGCCCATGCTAATACGTCATGCAGACAACATGCGCTATGCGTTGAATACATGCCTCTTTGACGAGTCAACAGCCGTCAATTCGCCATGCATCATCAACTATGCCTGCGAGCCACTGGAAGACGCCCTGAAAACAGGCCTCTCAACCCCTGGCGAGCAGAGCTTCGACTATTGCACGGCGGACGAAGGCGCCTTCTCAAAGAAATGGCATTGGTCCTGTGTCTCATGTCTCAAGAGCAGTGGGACGCAGGTCTATCTATCCAACTGTAAGTATCCGTTCGCTTAAGCACCCTGGTGTAACCTATCCAAACTGACCTGTGCGACAGTCCTTCAAGCACTTAAAGCCGGCTGCGAGCAGAAGCCTGAGCTTGGAGATGTGCTCACTATGCGCGGAGAGATCTTCTCCAACACACTACTGAACATTACTGTGACCAACACCACTCTGCCTGGCGAAGGAGGAGCTGATTCATCCACCATGACAACGGGTACCTTGGTTGGTATCGGCGTCGGAGGCGGTCTCGGCCTTCTGGGAGCCATAGCACTCACCGTCGCTTGCTGCCGTCGCCGAAAGAAGAGAAGGGCCGCGGAGCAGGACGACCTTGACCGAACACCCCCACCGGACAGGAGCAATGCAAGCTCCTTCACGGCCATCAACCACAGCCCGTTCCTCCGAGACCACAAGAAATCACCTTCTATCTCTACGGAGTATGAGCTTCAGGAGAAGCAAAAGCACATTAACAATGCCGACTACTACGATAGGATGGAAGAAGAAGCGCGAATCGGCCGCGCCAAAGCGAGCTACAACTTTGATCCCCGTCTTTCACAGCATGGTCCCGGCAGTGCCATGCCCACACATCCGGCGTATAACCCCCGTATGACCATGAGCCAGCCTGCAAAGTTGTCATCGCTTGCGCCTGCCCCACAACGGTCCAGAGCGAACACGCCTGACTCCTACGCTCTCCAAGCATATCTGAATGCCGCTGAAGACGGAGTCCCCGGCGGCATCCCACGCTCCAGATCACAAACCCCATCTGGCCGTGGCTCACCACCTGCCTCCACTGGACGCTCTTCCGCAGAGCCCCCAGTCACCGGCACCAGCACGACCCTCACAGCCCAACAGCTCCCCGGCGGCATTCCCCCTCCGCCTCCGGGCCCCCCTCCTTCTCAAGCGCACGCCGCGGCGTCCAAGACTCGCTCCACGAGGGCGCCCTCTCTTGTGCTCCCCTCCCTACCTCGCATCCGCATGCCCAAGAGGTACGCACCCCCGACCATCAACGTCGAGGGCGCCACTCCGGTCGACGGCGACCGCCATCCGGCCGATGAGATGCAAATATCTGAGCCCATTGCCCTCCACGAGGCGCGTTTCACGGACAAACCTCTTGGCGGACCCGTTGTTCTCGCTGATTCGGCGCCGAACAGGAATATCGACCCAAGGGTGTACGAGAATGACCAGCCGATCAACAGCGGCAAGAGCACGCTGTTCGGATGGTCTGGGAATTAGCGGAGTTTTTACGTATACCGCTTCAATAGGGATTCTTTTGCAGGGTAGGCTTTTTTGATTGGAGTTTGGGGGTAGGATTATTGTGTATACAGCCAGCGTGGCGTATTCTTCACCAGACAGATTCACGTTAAAAACGTGGACTACTTTTTTGAAATGGTATTCATTAATTCATCTTGCTCTCTCTATCATTGTGTATGTGCTATGCTGCGCTTCACCCAACGTCTGCTGATGCTCTAATCCCCGAGACGCCTGCCAGGACCCCTGGTCCTCCATGCTTCGGGAAGGGGGCCGCCTCCGGTGGCGGCGCCAGTGGTGCGCCCGGTCGATGGCTCAGCGGCTCGCGGACGAATGGCAGTGCCAAAGTTGCGCTCCAGGATGCGAGGCGTGTCGACGAAGCGGGACAGGAACCCAGGCGTGGGCAGCAGGTTCCGCCCGCCGGTAAAGGTCGGGTAGATCCTCGTCAGGAAATCGAACAGGTGGGCGGCGAAGAAGCCGATGAGCTGCATGAGAAACGTCATGGCGCCACCAGGAAACAGCAGAGACATGAGCATCATGGCAAAGGGCATGAGTTGGGCGGGAATGGTGATGAAGTAGATGCTGGCCTTCTGGCCGCGCTGGTCTTGGGTCACGGTGCGGCACATGGCGAGGATCAGGGCCGAGAGGAAGAAGCCGCCGCCAAAGAGCCAGGAGGCTATGGTCTGCGAGGAGAGGATTAGCTCAACTCGGAAGCTTTTACTGGGTTTGTGCTTTTTTATATCGATCGATCGCCATGGGACAAGAAAGAAGGTGCCCACAGGCAAAAGGATGTAGGGAGCGTATAACCACCCGAGCAACATTGAAACGCTGCCCGGGACATCGAACATGCTTCCCACCATGCCCACGCCGCAGACCAAGCCCTAATGAGGTAGCGGACCGGCTGTGCCGTGGGGGTGATCTTCCTCGTTTTCAGGAACCGCTGTAGCTGTGGGAATACACCACGCGGGCAGATAGACGAGGTGGTTTTGTCATATCCCGGGATAGACGAAGAACACAGGTCACAGGGAAGGACACAATGGGGCAAGATGAGCAGGCAAAGGCTTACCGTGATGACGCCGCCGACAAACAAGAGGTACCATATTACATCCTCCTTCTTGGAAAAGCGAGGGTTGCCGACCTCAAGGGCGCTTGTGTAGCTGTACAGAAAGTACGTGTCAAACAGCAGGCTCAGCTGGGGACCAGTGACGAGGAAGTTCGACCAGATCCTCCAAACTTGGGGAGGAAAAGTGAAAAGTTTTTCGGGCATGAACGTAAGCCAATGCGCAGGGAGAGCTCCCAGGTATACGGAGATCGAAGTCACGAATGCTGCCGTTGCGACGGTTCTGTGACTGTTAGCAATGGCCAGTGAGGGGGACACGCAGAGATAGATTCTTACCTGGCGATGGGCGGGGCCCGCCAGTAGCCATCCAACATGTCCGACGACATACTGGCAAGCGAGGTCAATCAAGTGCAATTGAAGACCTTTCAAAAAGTGAAACAGAGTCCGTGATGGCTTGATTGTGGTTGTGAAGAGATAGAGCACAGCCAGCTGGGCAGGTTGCAACAAGCTGGTGCGGACAGTCCAAGGGCCAAGGTTCAAGTTTTGGTGAAACTGTGTCCTCGGAAGGCGAGGATGGCAAAAGAAGGAAGAAGAACACGACGCGCCATAAAAAGGGCAGGTGCCTTTTTTCTGCCGTGGAGAGCTCCCCACAGCTCCCGGTTTAGGTGTAGGCGGTGAATCGCTATACCCGACATCGGATTGGTCGACATTCGCCTCTGAGCCAGTATTTTGTCGATAGACTGGGCAGCGCCCTTTGGATAAGGATTACTAGTAGATCTTGGAATATACCGTGTAGAGAAAAACATTCCCGCAGACATCACTCCTTTGTCTGAACCACCGACGCCATGTCTTCCAAATCAGCAAGCCCGCGCTGGGCGGCCATGGCTCGTGACACCAACGAGACCAAGATTCAGATTGCCCTGAACCTCGATGGCGGGGACTTCCCACCCGACACCGACTCGCGGTTGACATCTGCCAAGGAGGAAGGCCATGCCTCTCAGGCGAGCAAGTCGCAGATTATCAGCGTCAACACGGGCATCGGCTTCCTCGACCACATGCTGCACGCCCTGGCCAAGCATGCTGGCTGGAGTCTGGCGCTGAACTGCAAGGGCGACCTTCACAGTACGTGTGCCCCTCCATTGCCCCTCCATCCGCCACTTGAACTCTTCAGATGCACAATGAACAGAGGCCGAACAGCAGACTGACCATAGCAATCAATAGTTGACGACCACCACACCGCGGAAGACGTTTGTATCACCCTCGGTTACGCTTTTGCCCAGGCCCTCAACAGCATGGCCGGTCTGGCGCGCTTCGGCTATGCCTACGCCCCTCTCGACGAGGCCCTCTCCCGCGCCGTCATCGACCTCTCCAACCGCCCCTACAGCGTCATCGACCTCGGCCTCAAACGCGAGAAGATTGGCGACCTTAGCTGCGAGATGATCCCCCACTGCCTGCAGAGCTTCGCGCAGGGTGCGCGAGTCACCCTGCACGTCGACTGCCTGCGCGGCGAGAACGACCACCACAGGGCCGAGAGCGCGTTCAAGGCGCTGGCGATTGCGGTGCGCCAGGCCACTACCAAGGTCGCCGGCAGGGAGGGCGAGATTCCTAGCACGAAGGGCACCCTGAGTGCATGAGCAATATACCATCTTCGAATTGGCACGAGGACATGCTATAGCCGGATCTCTACCCATGAACACGGTGATTCACGCTGTGGCTCCGATTGATGTCCTTGGTGTCTCTCATTAATCTTGATCATCCATCTGACGAGTAACAAAGTCTGCCCGACTTGGGTCCTGAACGCCATGCTGTCCTTTAACACACAATATCCATATCCCGTATCCAGTACAATCAATGATGTAGCAGGTAGTCCCCAAAACAAAATCCAACCCAATAACCCAGTCATTCAAGGCTTGACATTTTCCTTGTTGAGAATGTTGTTTACTGCCCGCCGTTTTTCAGCTTTCCGCTGCTCGATCCGAGCGATGGCGGCTGCTCGCCTTTCAGGTGGAATAGCGCTCCTTGACATGTTGGCTCCGAGCATCGTGCTGGCCTCGGCATCTGGCACGCCGAGACGGGTGAACCGGTTTTGCAGTAGATCGATATCGCCGTGGTCTCTATCCAAGAATCGATGTCGTGGGGCAGGCGTTGCGCCCGAGGGAATGGCGCTCGAGATCTGAATCTGCTGGTTGATGTCGGTGCCAAGGCGCTCTCTGTTACGAGGGGATCGAGGGATGAATGGTTTCCAGCGTGGCCTTTCGAGATCGACTCTGTCTTCCAGAATGTTGAAAGTAGGCTTCGCCGGCTCTTCTCCTGTTGCCTTGGATACTCCATCGTCTTGCTCCTTGCATCGGCCTCCTAGGTCATGCAATGACCTCTCATTCAGCTTTTTGCCCAGCGACTGTACCAAATCAAAGCTTCCCTTCCCTGCCTCAACTCCAACATCTTCTTTATCGACTTGTGTTGGGGCAGGTTTTGTTTGTGACGGACGGACGGGATCACTCGCCACACGCGTGGCGGGCTTCACCTCGGCAGTTGTGTGCGATGCCCCATGCTTCAGCATCCTAATCTCCCTTTTCAGATCCGAGATCTTGTCCGTTGCAGTCTGTAGAACACGTTTCGTCTCCTCCTGGCGCGCTGTGGCCTCGGCTCGGAAGGATTCGTACTCCTCTTTCAAGCGACGCATCTCTTCATCCTTGCGGCGGATTTCCTCCCGCGCCTGTGTCAGCTCAGCATCAGCTTCACGAGATGAGCTGGTCGCTGCCCGTGGATCGCTTTTCGTTGAGACAGAGGCGTGCTGCTCGGCCGTACGGAGCTCAGCCTTGAGTTGCTTGACCTGCGCGCGAAGGTCGCCGTTCTCTTTGACCTGCGTCCGGGCCCTCCTCAACTCGCGCTGCGTTTCCAAGAGCGTCTTCTGTGTTCGTGGTGAGGCTGCTTGTCGGCGGCGTCTGCTGTGTGTGTCCGCGTCGTCGTCGTCCGGCTTATCAGTCATCAAGGACTCCACCTGCTTCAGCTGATCCCTGTACTGAACAGCAAGGGCCGTCTGTCGCGCCAGGTCCTTCATCAGCTGAGGGTTCTCGCCTTCATCGCCGTCGAGTCGTCGCGTGGCCATTTGCGCGGCCATTTCCGTAATCTTTTTCTCCATCTTCACAATCTTCTCCTGCTCTTCCTTGAGCTTTTCGTTGAGATCAACGGCCTCTGCGTCCTTCATCTTGGCGTAGGATTTTGCGAGTTGCTTATACTTCAGCAGTTTCTCCATCTCGGCCCGCGCGTCGTGGTGGTACTGTTCGAATTCCGACTTCCAGTACTTGCCTGACCTCGAAAAGGGCTCGTTGAGATCAACAGTGATGTCGTGCATGCAGTTATCGTCGTCGTCAGCCTCCTCCCACTCCTCCTCTGAGCTGTGGCCGTTGACGTTCCTCCTAGCTGGCGAGGAACCGGAGGCGGAGTTCGAGCGGCGTGACTTCTCCATCGTCTCCGTTAATCGGGTGCGCTTTGATGCCGAGCCTTCGTCTTGCGGGGTGAATGAGCTGGGGAATTTCCCATGGCCGTTGTCGCGCGATCGGCTCTTTCCACGCGTCGGGTCGACACGGTCTACAGTGTTGTGGTCAAACGACACGCGCTTGCGACGAGATGTGCCGGTGCCAGGTGTCAACAGGATTCCTTGCGGCTTCAAAGGGGTCCTCGAATCCTCGTCGTCCATTCTCGATTCGGTCGTCTGCTGCTGGGCTAGTTGTGAAAAGTTGGGCGCGTTGTCCTCGACGCGCGCTGGTGTTCCAAAGATGGCGCTCTTCAGGGCTCGAGCAGCGAAGACTGGTGCTGGCGTGTCTGGTTGTTCGGCAAAAGTTGTGTCATCTGTGAGGAAGGAGTGTTAGTTCACGATGCGTATTTGTTGCGGCCTGCATGTTCATCTCACCCGTCGCGACAGCTCTGGTGTCTCCAGACGCGCCCTCCAGGCCTTTCCTGAGCACCCAGCCGAGCATCGTAAGGCGGTGGTATCAACAGGCCGAATGACCATGCGATGTGCAATCGAAAGCAAGTATCTGACGCGCTTTCTTCGAAATGAGTTGCCGCAAATAATGTTGTCGGGGTCGTGGGGTGTTTGCAATGGGGGGAATCTGGGGTTTATTGGTCTCATCAAGGCCTGGTGTATTGTTTACTTGGTTACCCCAAACGGCTAGAGGAGGAGTCGCGAAAGGCCTCCAGCGTTTAGAGGCCGTAGTCCTTTTGATTGGCAGGCCTGGGTGTCGAATTGCGGGCCGCTGGGCAGAACCACGTCACACAGGGAAGGCCGCCGCCCTGCAACGACCCCGCTATTATCAGCTGGGCTGGTAGCGCTTGGCAGCCTAAGGGTCCCTTGTGCAGGGTGCTGATCTCAAGGCCAGTGGAAGTCTCGACATGTGGGTGACGCTTTTGCTCATTCAACACCACTTTTTACCTATCATCATTCACCAGTACACTTACGAAAATGAGCTTCCCACAGTAAGGACTCACAGCTTATGCTGTGAGAACCCTTTCGCTCCCTTCATCGTCTCATAATGGCGTGGAAATCATCTGGGGCGTGGAACAAGCCCATCATCAATCTGCCCAAGCCTGCCAAAGATGACTCGAGCTTCCCTGGCCTCAAGGTCACGAGCCCAGAAGCCACAGGCACCCCGAAAATCGAGTATGAGGAGCTACAGGAGAACGAGCTGATGGTCTTGGAGGCCATTTACGGCGACGACTTTGTGAAACACACAGATACGCAGAGCGCTTGGAAGGTACCTTCTTAATAAATGATAGCACCGGCTTGACGCTCTCGACCTCAACGAGCCATCGCTGACTATGGACAGAAATCTGAGCCTTCGTTTGACATTCGGATCCGGGCTTCCTCGGACGATGAATTTGTCGTCACGCTAGGCGTGGTGCTCACCGCCACTTATCCCAAAACCCCGCCTGTCCTGACGCTCAAAGATGCAGATGACATTCGCGATGTCACTCAGTTCAAAATTCAAAAGTATCTCGAGACCAAACCCAAGGTCTTTGCTCAAGAACAACAGGAGATGATAGACCGTATAGTGGAGGGGGTTCGCGAGATACTCGAGGACGCCTCTCAGGCCAAGGCCAAGGGACACAAGTTACCTTCGTTGGAGCAGGAGCGTGCAGCCCATGAGGCAGCACTCGCCGCGCAGGCGCAGAAGCAGCAGCAAGCTGAGGAGCGCAAACGGGCGGAGGAGAGCAAAGAGGAAGAGAGGGTGCTCGGTGGTCTGCTCCAGGAGGAACTGAAGCGCCAAAAAGACAAGGCCAAAGAATCCAGGAGGAAGAGCAAGCCCAACGGGTTTGGATCAGTCCCGCCCATGGGCATCGGCCATGACCTTGAGGACGGCCAGATTATCTTTGATCAACCCTG